GGGTCCGTCTTGTGGGGAGCCCAGAGGCCCTGAAAGACGCCTTCCCAGAGCTCATCATACAGTTATGTGGAGGACTCGCTGACCTAGGATGCCGTCTCTCTGGTAAGTCTGTGGTCCTGGCCAGCTCCAACGACATCCGCACCACGGTCGTCGACAAACTCAACCAGGCAGGGGTCCAGATCAGACCCGTCCAGCATGCTCGGGACCTGGGGGCCGACACTACGATCGGGAAGAAAAGGGTCCTGGGAATCCGCCGAACCCGTCGTCGTCTCGGAGTGCAGAGACACAAGAACATCAAGAAGCTGGCCCAGACTACAATCAAGGCGCGATCACTTTTCCGCACTGGCGCTCTACCGCAGCTGAAGTGGGGCATGGAGGGACACGGATCAGCACCGACCGAAGTCCAGTATTTCCGCCGATTGGCGGGAGCGGCACATAGAGCTTCCAAAGCAGGGGCCTGCCTTACCACTGGCCTCCATACCCGTCCAGGACACCCATACAACATGGATCCAGGGATCTATCTTCGGGCCCAGCTGTTTACGATGTGTTTTCGGGTTCTCAATACCGAACTCAGCATCCTCGGAGGCATCCAGGAGGCTTGGGAGACCCTGAGGGAGAAGCTCAAGAGACCATCAAGGTGGCTCATGGTCAGGTCCCACATGTCCGCGATCATTGCCACCCTGTACGACCTAGGCTGGACCCCTACCTCGGCATGGCTCTGGAGGTACCCCGAGGGCCTCGATTTCCCCGTCAAGCCGCTGAGCTGGGACAGCCAGAAGGTTTTCATGTTTCACTTGGAGCTCCTCTTGAACATGCATGTGTGGAAAGCTACCTACCCTCTTAGTCATAACTCTGGAGGCCTCCAGGAAGGGGGGGGACGTGCACTCCTTGCGGCTCTACCCTGCCAGAAAGCGGGCTGCCATCAAGAAGCGGGAGAAGCAGCTAGCCGAGCACCCCCTCCCCCGAGCCCAACAAGTCCAGGCCCAGGAGGAACTCCAGCGAGAAGCAACTTTCCCAGCAGCTTTGGAGGCCGTTTCCTGCTCGAGGTGCTGGAGCGCCCATCGCAGGTTTGAGAGCGGCCAGCAGGATGACGCAGACTGTCTTCTTTGCGGGCAAGAACACGGAGATGATTTACACAAAGTTTGGACGTGTCCTGAATTGGAAAGTCTCATCATCCCCGCCATCAATTGGACCCAGGGCTCCATAGATCGGGCAGTGGCAGGGTCCCCAACGGAACCCAGTCTCTGGCTCCGAGGAATCATCCCCGCCACGATCATACGTCAAGTCCATAGACACATTCTGGGACTAGATCAGGACACGGTCCGAAAAGGAGTATTTGAACAGCATGCAGTCTATCAGTTCGATGGCTGGCAAGTGGCAGCCACAGACGGCAATGGAGGGCCTCATACGCAGGACCCGCGCATCAGAGTCTGTGGCTGGAGCGTATCCCTGTGGGCACACGACCTCACCTGGAAAGGAACCATCCAGGGAGGCATCATCGGCCCGCAGACGGTACCGCTGGCGGAGCTCGAGGCAGTCATGGCGCTGCTGGAGTCCACTCGCGGCCGCCTCATTATCGTGATTGATTGTGCCTATGTGATCAAGGGCTTCAACAGAGGCCCCCGCTTTCGGCACCCCAAGAACCAGTTCACGTGGCAGAAGTTCTGGACCCAGGCCAAAAACCGACGGGACAGCACGATCTTCTACAAAGTGAAAAGCCACCCCACGGAGGAAGAAGCCGCTCGAGAGCCTCCATGGGCCCTACACCTCAATGGCCATGCCGACATTCTCGCTGCGGAAGCAGCACAGTGGCGTCAAGTCCCAGGGCCCCTCGTTCGACACCTCCAAGGCACCGACATTCACGCCGATCTCATCAGGGACAGATTGGCAGCAGTTCAGAGCCACTACTGGAGTCACAAAGACCCACTGGGCCTCGAGGAAGATGAGGATGTCAAGGAGAACCGTAGGAAAGTGAAGGTGGAGCGCAGTGTAGCAGCCTTGCAGGTCGAGCTGTCTAGGACGCCCCACTCCCTCTCCGTTGCTCCTGTCCCTCCCCTCTTCCAGATTGCTTGTCTAGCCTGCGGCAAGCAAGGTAGTGTCATCAAGGGAACACCTAGGTGGCTTAAGGCCCCCTGCGTCCCCCCAGGGCCGCAAAATCGTTTTCATCCGTCCCACGGGCCGTTCATCAAGAAGTTGAATGGTGTCCTTTGGTGCTCCCGATGTGGAGCCTGGATCATCCGTGCAGCCAAGAAATTCAGGGAGCAGTGTGCACCATCAACAGAGGGTGGCATCAAGGCGCTCCAGAAGCTTACACAAGGTAAGCCACCGCCAGGCCTCAAAGCCTGGCCCGATGGACCCACATGAGGTCCACTCAGGCTGCTCCCACGCGGGGAGACCAGGACAGCTGCGGAGGCGCGAGCGCGGGAGGAGGAGGAGGAGGAGGAGGAGGAGGAGGAGGAGGAGAGCAGGAGGAGGAGGAGGAGAGCAGGAGGAGGAGGAGGGGGAGGAGGAGGGGGAGAGGAGGAGGAGACAGAACCCCTTTAGCAAAACGTGGCTCAGTGAAAACGACCTCGGGCCCAAGCCTGGGGAGCGCAAGCCTGGAAAACGACGGCCGCGGCGCCCTCTCGAGAACCGAGAGTCGGACAATTCACTGATCAGCGTGTCAGGGTGGGGGTTCTGTCCACCCTCGACAGGACACAGAAGGACAGACTAGTACTAGGTACAAGACGAAGCCAGGGCGAGGATAAAATCGTGTGGGGGTAAATCGAGAAGCTCTGAGATCTGGCGGCTCTGGAGGAGGTCTCGGGCGCCGCGACCTTCGCAGAGCGCTCCGAAACACTCAGGGCGCTCCAGAACGCTCTGCAACGGATGATCCTCGTCCGGTGTGGCCAGAAAGCTCTGTGGCCAGAAAGCGCGCCATCGAGCGCGTCGCCCGTGCGTGGCCGACGCACCTGCAGTACGAGTACGGCAGGCGTTGCTTCTTGACACCGCGGGGATCGTTCAGCCTTGAAGCATCGGCCGCTTCCGAAGCGTCCGATCTTTCAACATGGACCAATCCTGGGTCGCTGGCGACGCTCGACGCTGAACGCCGGCGGCGGGGTCGCCGCCAATCGACAAGACGCACACCTACCGTAAAACACAAAACTCAAAAATCAAAAGCTCCGCGCGGATTTCCTGGATCGGCACTGGACCCGCCTCTCCCCGCCGCACGGAGGGCGCCAGGGGCGGCGCCGGAGGCACCGCCAGGGGAGCGCAGCGCCGGCACCCGGAATCCGCGCGGACCTTCAGAAGGTTATGTTCGTGCAGGTTGTTGTCCTTCGACTCGAGGCTGAGTCCCCGAACCTCGATCGATGACGGCATCAAGGACCGCGACGACGACGACGACGACGACGAAGACGACGAAGACGACGACGACGAAGACGACGACGAAGACGACGACGACGACGACGACGACGAGGCTCGGTCGCAAGCGGTGCTCGACGCTGAACGCCGGCGGCGGGGTCGCCGCTGGTCGACACGACGCGAGCCTACCTCGGGCGTTGGCAGAACCGGGTTTCGTGGGACCTTGCTTAGTGGTGCGCTGACAGACCGTGCGGTGACCTCGAAATCCCCCCAGACCTCACCGCACGGTCCGTCAACGCACGGTTTTGGGACCTCGGATGCCCCTGTCGCCCGAGACGTCCTCGGAGAAACGACCCGAGTCCCGAAACCGCGCGGTGACCCCGAATCCCCACCGACTCACCGCACGGTGTGGTCACCACCCCGTTTGGGGACCCCCGTGTACTGGTCGGGGGCGGCAAAGAGGGGGGGGTCAAAGAGGAGGGGGTGCAAATCATGACCGGCGGCATGTGCGCGGCCCAGCGGGGGGACTAGGGACGTATTGAAATAAGAAGAGGCGCCATGAAATCTGGGGAGATATCCTGGCCCGCGCCATGATATCCACCCCCCCCTAGTCATCACCCCCCTCTTTTCCGCCCCCGAACTGGGGGGCGCCCCCCAGGCCCTGCTCCACGAACCGGAGCTGCCGCCACCCGAAGAAACACGGGCCACGGCAGACCTGGTCGAGTGCCTCTGGCCAGCTTGGGGGCCCCGCGGCCCTGCTGCTGACCAGGTCCCCTCAACCTGACTACCTACCAGACCACCCCAACCCAACCCGAAGACCCGAATTTCGGGTTGGGGGGGGTATGGGCTCCATATGTGTTTTTTCGATGTCCCCGGACCCCCCCCCCTACTAGAAATCGAGGGTAAATTTGACCCTTCGGGTTGGGTTGGGGTGGTTTGGTGGGTGGTGACAACCGGGGTCCCGGCGATAGCCGATCAGCTCCGGGGGTCCCTCATGTCTGTGCTGATCGTTCCGGGGTCCCGGGGGCCTCCTCGTCGATCCTCCTCCTCCTCCTCCTCCTCCTCCTCCTCCTCCTCCTCCTCCTCCTCCTCCTCTCCTCCTCCTCCTCCTCCTCCTCCTCTCCTCGTCGATCCTCCTCCTCCCCCTCCTCCTCCTCTCCTCCCTCCTCCTCCTCCTCCTCCTCCTCCTCCACCTCCTCCTCCTCCTCCTCGATGCGCGGCCCGGAGGTCCGCGCGGCCTTCGCGGGTCGGCGCCGGGCCCCCCCCCCGCCCGACACCCCCCCAGCAGCGCCGCCCCCGGGGCGCGCTCCGCGCGCGGGGGGGAGGGGGGGCGGGGCCCATCGCGGGCCGGAGCAATCTGCGTGGGCTTGGGTCGGGCAGAGGAGGAGGACAAAGAGGAGGAGGAGGAGGAGGAGGAGGAGGAGGAGGAGGAGGAGGAGGAGGAGGAAAGGCAAACGGCGCACCCGACAGCGCCCCTCTCAAGGGCGCCTCGGCCCCCGCGCGCCCGAGGGCCGAGCACCGCTCCGACCCGCCGCGGCTCTGCGGGCCGATCCTGCACGAAAAAGAAGGCCTCGTCCAAAGAAGCACCCCCACAGTGGTCAGAAGCAAAGACGAGAGAAGTCGTCTGCGGGCTGCTTCTTGACCCCCTTTGGATACCCCTCCTGTGTAGGGACAGGCCCGACTTCGGCGCGGGGGGAAGGCCCCCTCAGCCGGGGTCCTGGCGATAGCCGAGTCCGGGTGGTGCCGGCGCGCCTCGTCCAGCAGCGCCACGGCCTGCCGCCACTGGTCGCCCTTCTCGCAGGCGCCGACGGCAGAGGGCCGAGCGGGCGGCACGGGCACAGGGTGTCGCGGCGCGCGGGGGAAGGCTGCGCGGTAAGGGATGCTTCGGCACGGTGCTTCGGCACGGTTCTGGGAGACCCAAAAGGGGGTCCAGCTGCAAGGGGGTGGTGCAATAGATTTGGGGCGATCGTATTGCAAGCGTACTGCGCTGGAGAATTGTGTTGCATTGTATTGCAACTAATGCACTGCACGCGAAAAGCCGGCAATACGTTTGCGCCCCGGAATGTCTTGCACGCCCCAGATGTATTGCAACCCCACAAATCTATTGCACCAAATCTATTGCACCACCCCCTTGTCGCTGGACCCCCTTTGGGTCAACCCAAACGGTGCGAAAATATGCTACAAGATTTCTAGGCGCCCACGTCTACGTTTCCGGGGGCGTGTCAGCGTGTTTGCGTGACGCCGATGGGCGGCGCCCAGAGCTGCGCGCAGACAGGCGCGCTGACCGCACACGATGGTCAAGGATAACGCGCTGGGCACAGACTGCCTCGGCACGATGTGAGCCGGTGTACTCGCACTTCCAGAGGCCACAGGGACTTCTGAGCGTGCGGCGCGCCCATGGGTTTCGACAGCGTCGCCGACAAACTACTACAACTTAGGCATGTAAGAAGGATGCGCGGTAAGGATGCAAGGGCCTTGGAAGGCCACGTCGACACCTCTTGCGCGGGGCGCGGCCAGCGAAAGTGGGCGAGGGTGGGCCGAAGGGGCAGGGATGCAAGGGTAGCCTTGCAAAGTCGCTCATCCTTACTATGCGCCCTGACTGTACCCTGATTCGACCAGGCATGTATGTGAATGAATCCCACCAGCCTTTTGGGCGAAGGTGGTCTGACCAGCTTCCCTTTCTTCTTCCAAAAGAACCCTCTTCCCTTCGGGGAGGGGTATCCCCTCCCTGAGAATTTTGGGGCGGGCCGCGATGTGTTAGCGGGTCCTTTTTCGACCGAGACGGCTCCAAAAGGGCCTCCGATGCTCCAGTTGGAAAAAACAGGTTCTTGAATGAACTCGAACAACTGTCTTCGAGTGGATTCCATGAACTCTAGAATCTGGAAGGTTTTTGGTCGTTTCTGGCCTCTGGGAGCCCTCGCAGGGCCCTGGCGCAGAGAAGGACGGAGATCGGGACTTCTGGAGGCCCCGCTTGTAGAAAACCATGGCGTCGCCTGTCTGGGCACGGCAGGCTCGCGCCGCGACGATCCCAGCGCTGGCTTCCAGCACAGGCTGGATCGATCAAGCTCGGGCGACTTCCTGATCGCTGGATCGATCCTCATTGGCCAGAATCACTGGTGGCACTCAATATTCAGTCGGGCGTGTCCCCCTCCAGGGGGATTTTCGACGAAAAATACAAGATACCCCGAAAATAATCCAAAAATCTTCCAAAAATAGTCTGGGGACTATTGTTTGAATATTTTGTTACCGTTTTGGTGTATGTTTGGGGTATTGTTTATTTTTCGTCGGAAATCCCCCTGTAGGGGGACAGGCCCGACTTAACGTTTGTCTGCGGTGCGGCACAAATTCGCCGCAGCATCAGATCTCTTTGGGGTCCCGCAACGGTGCGGTGACGGACCGTGCGGTGACCTCGAAAAAAAAACCAAGATTTCACCGCACGGTCTCGGGACCCCGGAGGCCCCCGTCGCCCGAGACGCCCTCGGAGAACGACCCGAGTGCCACAACCGTGCGGTGACCCCGAAGCCCCACCGACTCACCGCACGGTGTGGTCACCACCCCGTTTCGGCGGTGGACAAACCTCCCTTTAGCAAATCTCCCCTTAGTGAAAACGGCCTGGGACCGAAACCCACGGACCTGGACCCGCAAAAAAATGACGGCCGCGACGCCCGCTCGCGAACCGAAAACGGCCAATTCTTTAATCGACGTGTCGGGGCAGGAGGTCTGCCCGCCCCCGACCGTCTGGGGGGGCCCCCGGAGCGAGCAGCACAAACACGCGCGGCCTGGAGGTCCGCGCGGCCTTGGTGGGTCGGCGCTGGGCCCCCCGCCCGGCACCCCCCCAGCAGCGCCGCCCCCGGGGGCGCGCTCCGCGCGCGGGGGGGAGGGGGCGGGGCCCATCGCGGGCCAGAGAAATCTGCGTGGGCTTGGGTCGGGCACGCGCCCCCCTACGGGCCGATCCTGCACGAACGAGAGAAGACATCGTCAAAAAAAGTACCCCCACGATGGTCAGGAGAAAAGACAAGAGAAGTCGTCCCCAGGCTACTTCTGGACCCTCTTTGGATACTCCTCCCGTGGAGGGACAGGCCCGACTTCGGCGTGGGCCTCCGAACCCCTTGGGCGCCCGAGTTATCCGGGGTAACTCGGGCCTGGGGTAACTCGGGTTCGGATTCCCGAAAAACGAACCCGAGTTAGCCCTGACCCGAGTTACCCCTGATGATTCGGGTCTCTGAACACCTGTGCTCGCGCAGCCTCTCGGCCCTCTGGATGAGGTAGCCGAACGTCAGGCCTCGCGGCCGAGCCAGGCCCCTCTCCCACATGCCCGTCGCCGTCCAGAGCGCCCGCGCCCACTGCCCACCTCGGGGGCGCGCCAACATGGAGGAGGAGGAGGAGGAGGAGGAGGAGGAGGAGGAGGATTTGGCGCGGCGTCGCCAAATCCATGGGTCGGGGGAGGTGCCCTTCCCAACATGCGGCCGGTGCCGCCTCGCTCGGCGGCGGAAGTCCGCGATGTCCCACGGAAACGGGGCCCGTCGCTGATCCACGCCCTCTTGATCCATGTTTGCGTTCGCCTGACCACCGTTCCCGAGCGCATTGACCAGGGCGTGGCACGTGATCACGTCGGGCTCCACGCCGTCCCCCTGCATGCGGGCGAACAAGCCCAGGGCCTGCCCCCACGTGCCCTCCTCTGGTGGCCCTATTCTGCACCGCCACCACCAGCAGCAGGAGGGGGAGGAGGTCCTCCTCCTCCTCCTCCTCCTCCTCCTCCTCCCTCCTCCTCCTCCTCCTTCCTCCCTCCTCCTCCTCCTCCTCCTCCTCCTCCTCCTCCTCCTCCTCCCACCTCCAACTTATGGTGGTGGTGGTGGAAAACAAGCCAACCATCCTCCGCGCACGCGGCGATCACTGCGTTGAAGGTCACCAGATTGGCCCTCAGGCCGTGGCGCGGCAGCTCCCCCAGCAGGGCGACGGCGCGCTCCCACTGCCGGCCCTTCTGGTACGCGCTGGCGAGCGCGTTGTACGTCACCTCGTTGGGGCGCAGGCCCATGCGCCTGGTCTCCGACATCAGCGCAACGGCCTGCTCCCAGCGCTGCCCCTTCTCGCACGCCGACACCTGGGGGGAAAATGGACTGCCGCCAAGTTACTCCGCGGACCTCTCCTATCGGGTGCGTTCTGTTCACGGCTTCGGGGAGAACCCGGCCGTGGCGACGAGAAACCGCCAGGATGAGCAGCGGTATCAAGTCATTCGAGCAGGAGGTCGCCTACTGAATTGTTTCACCCCACAAATGCTTCGTTCGCCGAGTCTACAAAACACATACAAAATGGTTCTAGACCCACGAGCATTATACGTTTGTTTGCATACTCGACAAACAAATCACTTCGGGAGGAGGATAAATTCCGCAGTAGCTCCCCTACTCGAACCCTGAGCAGGGACCGACCGTCCCGGCATTCCTATAGGCCTACCACGAATGTTCCAAGAACAGAAACACTGTTCTTAGAACATAAGCCCGGTGTGCTAAAACAAGACAGCCCCAGCCAGAAACGTAATTATGGAGAACGTTTCGTGCAGACCACAAAAAGGTTCTCAGAACATTCTCTCGTGGGCCTATAGGCGAGCCAGGACGCGACGCCGCTGCTTGATCTCCTCCTCCGGGGCACCAGCGCGCTCATCAGGAACAGGTTCGGGGGCAGCCCGCCTGCGCGCATCCCGGCCAGCAGCCCCAGCGCCTGCGGCCACTTCTCGCCCCTCGCGCAGGCGGCGATGAGCGCCCCGCACATCCTCGCTTTGGGAGCACCAGGTGGGACCTGCCCTAAAAAAGGAGCATCTAACCAGCCTCGCGCCTGCGACTGCCCCCAGGATTCACAAGCCAAAAGGCGATGACAGTCTCAGGAATGCGTCCCCAGAAACCGAGGGACCGCGCCACATCGGCGATGCATCGGTGATGCATCGCCGATGCATCGGCGATGAATGGTCCATGCGCTGGCGACGTCGGCGATACATCCGCGACGTCGGCGTGGAGAAGATCGGGCCCCACCTCGAGCTGCATCGCCGATGCATCGCCGATGTATCGCCGATGCGGTGCGATCCTCCGACCCCATCTACTCCGACCCCATCTAGGAGGCCGAGAGAAAAAGGAACATATAACCAGCCTCGAGCTTACGACTGCCCCCAAGATTCACAAGCCAAAAGGCGATGACAGTCTGAGGAATGCGTCCCCTGGAACCGAGGGACTTCCTGAAATCAGCATCGAGGTAGGGCGATACCAATCATGGGAATAGTGCTTCACGCTGGTAAATGTATCGTAGACGGATCGATCCTTTCTCCGACCTTGCGCTGCGCCAAACGGAACGGCCGCGTTGTCTACGGACGTATCCACCCCGAACTTCTCTCTACACGCAACGACGCCCAACGTGGCTGTAGACGCTTGTGGCCAGAACGTGAGAGTAGTATTTGGCACAAGCCCCACATGCTGGTCTTCTAAAATACAAGAAGAAGAAACATATAAACATAAATGTTTGGTGCTCCGTGCGGATTTGTTGGGTTCGCGCTGGACCCCCCTCCCTGGCGCGCGGAGGCCGGGGGGGGCCCAGGCGCGGATCCAAGAAATCCGCGCGGAGTGCAAAAAGTGTATGTGTAGGTGTTTTTTTCTTCCTCGACAGAAGCAGGCTGCCTTTGGCCCTCCGAATCCTCGCGTCTGGCCGGAGCCGCGCCGCCAGCGCCTCCTCCAGCAGCACCAGCGCCACCGCCCAGCCCCCGCCCCCCGCGCACGCGCTCATGCACGCGCTGTACGCGGGCGTGTCGAGCGCGAGGCGGCCCGCGGTCGCCTCTGCAAGGACGAGGACTTCCTCCTCCTCCTCCTCCTCCTCCCTCCTCCTCCTCCTCCTCCTCCTCCTCCTCCTCCTCCTCCTCCTCCCTCCTCCCTCCTCCCTCTTCTCCTCCTCCTCCTCCTCCTCCTCCCTCCTCCTCCTCCTCCTCCTCCTCCGCCTCCTCCTCCTCCTCCTCCTCCTCCTCCTCCTCCTCGGGCGCTGGTTCTGGACACCGCGGGGATCGTTCAACATCTAAGCAAGCGCCTTCCACGACTCGCAACATCACGACTCGCAGATGGCCTGGGCCCGCCACGGGGCATGTATATGATACGCTGCGTCGATGCGGGCAGGTGTTTTCTTTGCTCGGGCGCTTGCGAGTTGCGAGTAGGCACTTCGCGAGTAGTGGAACGCGCTCGGTGAACATCTCGAGATCGGCCATTTCCGAAACGCCCCCTCGCTCAACATCGACAGCTTCTGGGTCGCTGGCGGCGCCCCACGTGGAGCGCCGGCGGGCGGTGCGAGGCGCGGATTCTTCCATATCCACCGCCTGGGAAACGACGTCCCGGTGCCCCTGCGGGCGGTGGTTATGGATATTATATGATATTACTTTGGCCCTCGGGGGCCCGGATAGATCCAGATCCACCGCCCGCGAGGTCCCCGACAAATCGATCCTCTGGGCGGTGGTCATGTATGAATTCCCGCCTCGGATCCAAAGGTCCATACGGAGTTTCTGGATCGGCACTGGACACTGGGCCCCCCTCCGTGGCACACGGAGCGCGCCAGGGGCGGCGCCGGAGGCGCAGTCAGGGGGTCCCAGCGCCAGTCCAAGGAATCCGCTTGGGCGACCTCCAAAAGAGCATGTTGGTGCCAATAGTTCTCTTCGCACAGAAGCTCGGTCCCCGAACTTCGATCGATGATGACATCGAGGATCGCGACGACGACGACGACGACGACGACGACGACGACGCCGAGCCTCCGCCAGCAGCCGCACCGCGCTCTGCCAGGCGCCGCCGCGCTCGCACGCGCTCACCAACGCCGAGCAGGCGATGAGGCTGGGCGCCAGACGCCCGCGGCACAGCTCCCCGAACAGGCCCAGGGCGAGCAGCCACTGCCTCGAGGCGGAGCCGGGACGGGGCCAAAATCGGCTCGGGACAAATCGGGGACCTCTGACATCCAGCGGCTGTGGAGGATGTAGGGGGCCACATGCGAACCCTACCCCTACCCCCGACGATTTCAGAGGGGGAGGGTGGGGTTCACTTCGCTCGGGAGCTCCCGAACGAGGTGAACCCCACCCTCCCCCTCAGAAATCGTCGGGGGTAGGGGTAGGGTTCGCATGTGGCCCATTAGGATGTGCTGGGCGCCGCGGCCTCCTCGGAGCACTCTGGGGCGCTCCCATGGCGTCCCACAGAGCGCTCTGGAGCGAGCCGTCCCCGTCTTCGCCCTGCCCGATGCCTCCCCGCCCGGCAGGCGCTCATGGCGGCCCCGCAGGTCACCACCTCGGAGGGAGCGCCGACTGTTTGATGAAGCGGTGGCTCTCCCGCCCGTCCCGGACCCTCTCGGAATCGGTCCCACGTCGCCGCTTCGGGTCCATGCTGAACCCGTTCCCTGAGATCCGACGGTGCTAAGAGATTGCCGCATCGCAGGAGATCACGTCCAGAGCCCCAGACCCACTCTTTCTGCGGCATCTCTAAGCCAGACCGATCCGTGAGGCTCCTTGGGCTCGAGACAAGGCGAAAACGCCTAGCGTGAAAGAAATGCGACGACAAGGTCTCAGGGTTTTTCGCAGCAGGTTCAGCCGTGGCGACGAGAATCCCAGGAGGCACAGTAGAGGCCTCCCGAATGGGGTCCGCGCAGATGGGGTCGGAGCATCGCGCCGCTACATCGGCGACGTCGGCGATGCGGCCTTACGTAGACATGTGATGTCTCGTATTTTTCAATACGTGGACCCCTGGAAGCCTCGGCCCATTCTCCGGGACTGGCGCTTCGTCCCTCGGAGCTTCTTGACGGCCCCGGCTCCGCGAGGGCACCCAGAGGCCGGCAACGGCCCTCTGTCCCCAGAGATCCGATGTCGTGCCTTGCTCATTGCGGGGCCCCCCGAAGTCGACCCCTTCCCCTGACCGGCTTTCCATCCCGAGTCGTTTCGTTGACGGCCCCGGGCCCCGGCGAGGGCCGCTAGAGGCCGAATGTATGTATACACATAGATATAGCAATATATTTATATATATAAGCAACATATATATATAATTATAATATATAATAATAAAAATAATAATAATAATAATAATAATAATAATAATAATAATACTAATAATAATAATAAGAAGAAGAATAAGAATAAGAATAATAATAATAATAGTAGTAATGATAATAATAATAAACGTATGAATAAATAAATACATAAATACATGAATACATAAAGACATAAGAATAAGAATAATAATAAGAATAAGAATGCGAATAATAATAATAAGAATAAGAATAACAACAACAAAAAAAACAAGAACAAGAACAATAATAATAATAATAATAAAAATAATAAGAATAATAATGATAATAAGAATATTAATAAGAATAATAATAAGAATAATAATAAGAATAAGAATCATAATAATAATAAGAAACAAAAATAATACGAATCAGAATAACAATAATCCGCCGACCCTGTCGGCGTGTGCGAGGGGCTTGGCTGTTCGAGTCGTCGCCTCCGTCGCCCCATTTCCCTGCAGCTTCCTTCTCAAGCTCGTGAGCGAGAGATAAATCTAGCAGTGTCGTAATCGAGTCGAAGGGAAGCCCCTTCCCTTCGATCCCTTCCCCGGGGGGGGGGGTCCCCCGGGGGGGGTCCCGGGGGGGGGGTGGGGGGGGTGGGGGGGCAGATTCGTTTTCCCTCGGGCGGCCTCGACCTCGAAAACACTCCAAATGAGGTCCGAATGCCCAGAATGGCCCCCGAGACGGCCCAGGAGGGCCCCGAGTCGCCCACAGATCGGCCGAAAACGCCCACGATAGCCCCAAGACCGTCCAAGAAGCCTCCAAGACGTCCCAGGCCCCCTCCAAGAGACCCCCAGGAAGCCCCAAGAGGCCCCCACGAGGCTTCCAAGCGGTCCCTGAGAGCTTCCCAAGAGGCCCACAAACTACCCCCAAGAGGCCCCCAAGAGCGCTCGTCGTCGTCGTCGTCGTCGTCGCCATTCAGGGTCGGCGGCACCGGCCGTAAGGCCTTCGCAATAAAAATAATACGACGATTAGTAGTAGTAATAATAATAATACGAATAACAATAATAATAAGAATAATAAGACTAAAAAAAATAATAATAATAATAATAAAAATAATAATAATATTAATAATAATAATAATAATAATAATAATAATAATAATAATAATAATAATAATAATAATAATAATAATAATGATGATAATAATAATAATAATACTAATAATACTAATAATAATAATAATAGCAATAACAATAATAATAATAAACGTCTTGATATCTTCAACTCGGGGATGCACAGACCCCTCTTTAGTAAAACGTGTCTGGATCTCTGGGTCTTGCTTGCTTCACACGGCTGCATGCCTGGGAGGCCCCCGGAAGTCGACCCCTTCCCCTGACCGGCTTTCCATCCCGAGTCATTCTGTTGACGGTCCCGGGGCCCGGCGAGGGCCGCCAGAGGCCGATGCTTTTCATGCAAATAAAACAAAAACAAAAAAACGCCGTCCAGAGATCTTCAATACGTTGGACCTCTGGGTCTTGCTTTCTGCACACGGCTGCATGCCCGGGAGGCCCCCGGGAGCGCAGGAGGGCCGGAGGCCGCGGCCACCGTCGGAGCGACCCGCCAGCCGGCCATCCCCGCCGCCACGGCCAGGGAGGCCTGCCATTGGCGGGCGCGGTGGCACGCGCTCACCAGCGCGTTGCACGAGCGCGCCGACGGCGGGCGGCCACGTCCCCAGGCCTCCTCGCGGGTCTGGCCAGGAGTGTCCTCCTCCTCCTCCTCCTCCTCCTCCTCCTCCTCCTCCTCCCTCCTCCTCCTCCTCCTCCTCCTCCTCCTCCTCCTCCTCCTCCTCCTCCTCTTCCCTCCTCGTCTTTCTTTCCTCCGCTTCCTCCCTCCTCGTCGTCCTTTCCTCCTCTGCCCTCCTCTTCTCGCCAGTGCTGTTTTACTTCGGGGGTGCTGCTTTCAAAAAGCCTCTGGTCAGTCTCTGCCGCGCATCGCCACGGAGTGCACCCGTGACTCTGACTCGAGAGAGGATGCAGTCGCCTTCATCGCAGGGCTTCCAAGGAGGTCCCGGCGTCCCCAGGGTGTCCAAGGAGGCCCCCGCAGCCTCCAGAGCCGCCCCTCGCGAGGCACGAGAAGGCCCCAGGGGCTCCAGAATGGAGCGAGAGTTGGGGGGCACCTCGGGCCAGGGGCACCTCAGGCAGTCCCCGATCCCCTGGAGGAGCCATCCCAGCAGACATCCGACGACGTCCGTCGGCGCTCGCCGCGCAGCACGGGCTGCCCGGGCAAACGGCGGCGAGGCCTCGGCGGGCGTGCACGCGCCGGGTTCGGCCAGATCGGCGCGAGCCGGACGGCCCCCTCTGCTGCAGCACGCGCGGGAGCCCCTGCAGAGGGCACTCTTCGTGTCGTGTGCTGCAGGTTCCGCAGGCCAACGTGGCGGCACGCGGGCGCATTCCTTTTGCTCCCGCGTGGTAGCATTGGCTCCGCAGCCCTGCGACGTCTGAGAGGTGATCGGCTATCCCCGCGGGTTTCCTTGATTTCGGCCTCGGGGTGACTTCCTCAAGCCGTGGGACCACCAAACATGGATCCCAGACGAAAATCTACCCCAAACATGGATCCCAGACGAAAAACTATCGCCAACCAAAACTACGAAAATCGTCCCGGAGCCATGCTGCCAAAGAACAGGGGGATTCGAAGTCGTCAGAACGACAAATATTGTAATAAGCCCGAGGAATCACGACCCCCCTGATGGTGGAGACATCAAACTTACATGCATTTTGAAGCAACCAGCTGCACAGAAAGCTTGAACGCGCGGTTTCGGCGGGCCTTGCTAGGTTTATTTTTGTTGGGGGGGCGCGTGGAAGATCACTTTGATGACTACCTACCAAACCACCCCAACCCAACAAGAAGACACAAATTACGGGTTGAGTGGGGGTACGGGTGTCACATGTGGTTTGCCGGTGTTCCCCGAAGCCCATCCCCTCTCCCCACTGGCACTGGAGGGCAAATCGGGACCTTCGGGTTGGGGTGGTTTGGTGGGTGGTCATCTGAGGGCCGCAGAACCGAAGACATACGGACATGATGAAGTTCGAGGCGTGGGCCCAGGGCGTCGCCCAATGGGGAAGAGGAGGAGGAGGAGGAGGAGGAGAAGGAGGAATGGGGGTGAGGAGGTCCGGGGCCACGGCTTGAAACCATATCCTTGGACGTCTGGGATCAACGGCACACGCGCAGAGTTCTTGGATCTGCGCTGGACACCCCTCGGCGCCCACAAGGAAGTGGCGCGACGGCTGCCAGGAGGGGCCAGCGCCGATCTAAGGAACCCGCGCGGAACTCCAGAAAATGATGCTTACGCAGTTGTCACTGCCATTCGTACTATTATTCCTCTTCTTCTTGTTCTTCTTAGTATTAATGTTATGAGTGCTCTCTCTTCTTACCATCAGTAGTGTTAATATTACTTGTCTTATCACTATTCTTGCTATTACGAACTCTTATTGCCAAACTTGTCATGATTCCTTTGTTAGCGCTGCCTGTTCCTCGTTGCCACGGCCGGGCTCGCCTCGACGTTTCGGCCAGAACGCACCCCAGGAGGGGTCTGGGAAGCAGCGGCACTTTGGCGGCGCGCACAAGGGGGTGGAGGGAGGGGGGGGGCTTCTTAGAAGGAGGCTGCTTCTTAGAAGGCGCCGGCCTTACATCCATAGAGAAGGCCCGCGCCTTCTAAGAAGCAGGGGTGCTTCTAAGAAGCCCTCCCCCCTCCCCCCACCCCCCTCTGCGCGTGGCTGAAGACAGTTGATGGAATCTCGATCCCTGCATCTCGAGCTGTTTTCTGACGGCCTCCAGGGGCCCGGCGAGGGCCCCTGGAGGCCGAAGATGGCAGAAGAAACCCCACTCGGGACCTCCGACGAATCATGTCTGTGCAGCTGTTCCTTGGCACGGCCCTCTGGCTCTGGTCGGTACCTTTAACAATCGATGCCTGCCCTGCGCACCGTCCTGCCGATGCCTCGGCATCACCAGTTCGATGCCTGGGCATCAGCAGCTCGACGCCTGGGCAACTGCTACGCACAGCTACGCCCATGGACGCATCCCTCGATGCATCCGTAGGCATACCCGTGCGGATGCCCAGGCATCAGCGGTGGCATGCCTGGAGGAGGAGGAGGAGGAGGAGGAGGAGGAGCAAGAGGAGGAGGAGGAGGAGGAGGAGGAGGAGGAGGAGGAGGAGGTACCCACCTGGCCATGCCCGGGCATGCTGCGATGCTACGCGGGCACCCGGGCGCAGGGCTCCCGGTGACGGGCT